TGTTCCAAAAGGCCATTGCATGCTACCTCAGCGAATGGTTGAACAACTTTATAATGATGCATCACACTGTACAAGGTTGGTATGTGTTGCAAGGCCAGCGAAGAGCATCACAAATATTTGCAAATCAATTTTCTTAAAATTATTTTACTTTATTATAATCTTCAGTAGATTGTAACAAGAGCAGTCCACACAACCCAAGTTGTTAACTGTTATTTGGCCAATTAAAGCTGGAGAGATTTTGATTAATCAGACTCCTTCCAGAGTGCAGGTAAAGTGAGCGAGCAGGAGTGTGTGAGTGAGGGAGCACAGTGAGAACATCCCTCTGTATGCTGGACCATGTCTCTGAGCTGAAGGCGAACGGGGCTGGGGTGAGGGGAGGGAGGAGGAGGTGGTGGGGGTTGGGGAGGTGCAGGCGGTAACTGGCCCTGCTGGGAAGGAGGGAGGGAGGGAGGAGGAGGAGGAGGAGGAGGAGGAAGGGGAGGAGGAGAACACAGCCAAAGAAGAGGGAGGGCTAGAGAAAGGGAGAAGGAGAGGGTGGAGCATCGGACAGATGACAAATTGTGATTAATAAATGTGGTTCAGGATGGCAGTGCGCAGGGTTGTTATTAATAGAGAGAATTAGAGTGGCTGTGCAACTCAATCTGCACACTGTCACTCTGCATCAGGCCCCATAATCAGAACCTAATGAAACAGCACAGCACCAGGATGTAGACACATCCACACCCGTGCACTCTGCTTACAAATCTGCACTTACTGTACAGTAAACACACATGCTCAGGTAAGTGGGGGAGAAAATAAAGCCTTTCATATCAGAGTGCAAGAACAATGTGATGCGTGGCCTAGTGGGCCTGAAAAAACAAACCTCATATTTATCCTCGACTTATCTTGCTAAAAATGTGACATATTTTCTGTGCAGCAAGACCCCCATTTCTTTTCTCACACTCCATAATATATTCCACAACAACCTCATTTCCAAGGGTCAAAGCAAATACAAGCATCAGTTGTGTCAGTGATTCACATGTTACTCTTCACGTACACACACGTGTGCAAATGCGGCAATGTGGATGTCGTCTTTCCACATCTAAACCTTTCCTCCACTGTACAGTTCTCCCTGATTTTAGACCTCCCCCAAATCACCTCTTTATATCCCTAATGACCTCTAAATTGATTTACAAGACAATAATCTGCATAGCAAAGAACGGGATCTCGATAGCTGGATTCCTGACAGTGATAACTGTGGAAGACGTGAGCAGTGGTTCCTCTGGGAGTGGCGGCCCTCCGGCAGCTACGTGCCTCTCGGGGACCACATGTCATCACCCCCCCCACCCGCCGCCGCTGCCGCCCCCTCAGGGCTGATGCTCAGTTTGTGTTGGTCACACTCCCTGTGCTGGTGTGGATTGTGTGACGGTGCAGCCATCTCAAAGTATCTCACACACGTCTTTACGTGACATATATCACTGACTGAGGTAGCTGAGATACGTCCACCCATTACCTCCCTGCTTGCAAGAAAGATTTGGTTTGTTTTGTGTTTTACATTTCATAAATTAAAAAACATTAAGAGTACGGAGTTATTTAAATCTCACCGTGGATGGCTGAACTGAAGAATTACTATGTCTTTAACAAACCATGCAGACAAAGCAGCCATAGCAGAAGAGAAATACAACATGAGTAATGTGGCCATAAATAAGTTCCTTTTCCTCTCTTACTTGTTTACACAGAACAGAAGAGAACTCAAATTATGCAGGCGTGTGCACAAAAGACAGAGATTTATTCCTGGTGTATCACAATATATGAAATTAATTATTAAACAAACTAATAACTCAAACAGCCCAGTTCTGATTCTTCTATCGGTCACAGTGGAGACTGCGTGAGTCACAGTGACGTCAGGGAAATGATAAAGCAATTACACTGAATAAAAAAAAAGAAAGAAAAAAAAAAAGACATTTCATCAACATAATGCATAACGTTCAAATTTTAGGTGAGTCTGAATACTAAGGGGAGCAAATCAAGAAGAGAATAGGGAGAGAGGGAGACAGACAGCTGAAAGACATGCGCATATTTCAATATTAATCACCTCAGTAATATTTTAACAGGCTTTAAAAATCCAATCCTGAGCATATTGCCTCTGACTGTTGGCAATGATTATCTGCCCCGTGCTACTCAGGACCTCTGAGCACTGTTCTAGCGGGCCAGACTGACTGACCCGCAAACTGGGACTGACACAGCATTTAACTTGTCCCTATGCTGCTTAGCTATACCAACATTTCCCGATGGAAATATCACAGGCCATCGCTCCCCCAAACCTTCCACGCTCTCCCACCTCAATTTCCCCTCTAAATCCAATCCATCCTTGGAAAACCACCTTAAAACTCAGTGATTATCCGTCCCTCTGCGTCTGGTGGGATCCTGCGGAATGATCCCTCTATTGCCAGACAGTGGTCATCACATCTGAGGAGAGAGGAGGTCGAGGAGGTGGTGGTTGATGAAAAGGGAGTCATCAATACTGTATGTAGACTTATTCCCCTCGCTACCACCGCTTCAGCCATTAAACTTTAAACTCACAGATCTGTGGTTGTCCCTGTCAGACAGGTGACACAAGACTCCAAGGAAATTATGATACAAGCTAAAAATCTGCCCAAGATGTTCCTGAAATGAAATGTGATCACCAGTGGATGTGACTCGCCAGGAAACGTATTTTAGCCTTCACATTATTTCCCTACTGTCATTTCAACAGTGAGATAATGTTGATACAAGAATACAAAACATGTTCTTCCATCAGCTAATGGTGTAAAAACTCTTTGTCTATGTATGCCTGCGTATGTCTATGTGAGCGCATGTGCGTTTGTGTGTAAGGTTTTAGGTAAAGGAAAAAGAGCAGCACAATGTGTGGGGCAGGGTGTCTCACTAATGAGGCTTTAGAGCTGTGGGATGCGAGTCACACACACAGACAATGGTCTGGGGAACATTTAGTGTCTCCTCTCCATTCCTCACACATCATGCCGAGGCTGCTTTTACTTAGTCACCCTCCTGTCCTCCCTTCCATAGCACACAGAAGATGAAAACATCTGCCTTCATTTTGCAGCACTTTATCAAACATGTTTGCCTCTAACAACTAGTGAATGTCTGGCTAACAAGACACAGGTCGGAAAGCATCAGTGGATTCTGGTCTTCCTGTGTATCAGATGACAGTTGAAATTCAATTACCATTTTGATTTTCACTCACAAAAAATAACAAGAATGAGAAAAGAAATGAAAATGAAAATGTGCATTGGATATTAGCTCTCAAAAATGTTGGAAATCGGGTTCAATATTTATAAATAGAAGAGCAAACTAATGATGCAAGTGAGGGAGAGAGAGAGAGAGAGAGAGAGAGAGCGAGAGAGAGAGAGCGATCTAACAGGTGTCGACTAGGACTGCCCATGGACCAAACACTGCGATAGGCTGTACAGTGGACGGACACTGGATATGAGCGTCAGATTTGCCGTGCGTCCCTCATTTGGAATTGGTGTCAGAAAAGTGTTGTAGCAGGTATTTTCTGGGCTTCATTTCCTCTGAAGTTAGCGGCTGTTAAACTCCAATTTCTACCTGGAGAGAAAGGAGGGGATTAAGCGCTGATTAAGAAACTCTCATCACTTTCCTGGCATCTCCTGCGCGCCCGTCGGCTCTCCAGCTCTCCATTTGGCACTCCAGCGGTCCAAAGTCTTTCAGTCGTTTTGGTGGGACGCGGACTGGACTGATGTACAGAGAAATATATCCTCCAAGAATGTTTTTGGATTATCAGAAACAGATGGTGAGTTTTTCTTTTGTGTCTTTGTCTGTTTCTTTTGGCTGTTTTAAATTTAACCTGAAACATGCTCATTGCGTATTATAGATAATTCCATATTTTACGTAATTTAGGCCAACGTGTATAATAACAAAAAAAAAATCAAAATAGGCTAATTATTTTTCTTATTTCTAGAAATCATTATTAGCCTCTTTATCTAAAAAAATCTTATTTTGATATTTATCTGTATTATTTCATTCTAAATATTGTTTGATTCTTTAATGTAACTGTATTACTGTGCATATAACACTGATAAATCAATTATTGAGTGTCTTTGCTCTTTTTGCTATTATTTCCAGATCCAAATATAACCTGAGGAGGAATCTATCAAAAGCACACCCAGGTTGACCAAAGTGTCACTGGTTTCCTTTTTAATGTGGACGGTGGAAATAAGATAGAAGTGGGGGGTCATAAAATGACTGTGCCCAGATCTCTGATGAACTTTTGTCACTTAACAGTCATGGCATTAAGTGAGACCTCCACATGAAGTGAGATCCTGTGCTTTGTAGGGGGGGCTTGAAAGAAGATTTTTCTTTGAAATAAACAATTATCTTTTCATCCAACAAAACAAACGGTACCCCCACTCCCTCCTCAATGAGCTGAATTTGGCACCAGCTCTCATTTCAGCACACTTTTGATAAGCTGCGCTTTCACAACAAGCCCTCTCAGTGCCAGTCATGGTTTCTGTTTGATGCTGCAAATTGAATTGAACTGGAGGACGACAGGAGAGGTCAGAAAAGGTGAACCAGACTTCATCAGATAAATTATGTTTTTTTTAGTTGGTCATCACAAATCTGAAAATCCAGATTTTTGTGTTCATTTCCTTAAACACTGTGGTATGTTAAGTTTTTTCTCTTTTTTTTCTTACCATATAGGCTTTTAAATCTATCTTGTAGTCCTCTGGACATCTTTATCATTTCTCTAGGATCCTCTCATCTGGTTGTTTCCTTCCTGACCGTCTGCCATTTTGCATTCTCTCTCATACTTGGCCCAGTGATACACTGCTTACCGCCCACTCCTCTCTACATCCTTCTTCACCTTTTCATACCAAACTGGTTCTCTGAGAAGCTTCATCCTGGCCGGCACTATTCCAGCCAAGGGGGAAGAGGACTTCCTGACGCTGGCCGCATCGCGGCTCAGCCGCAGGAAACGTGTCATTGGTGCTGCTGTAGGTGTGGCAATGGTTCTAATACTGTTGGTGGCCATTCCCCTGCTGGTCCACACAACCAAAGGGGGGAACAACGGAAATTCAGGGAGCCATTATGAAATGCTTGGAAGCTGCCGCATGGTATGTGACCCCTATGCCACCTCTCAGCCAGGCCAGGAGCTGACAGCTGTGTCTCCACCGCCCCAGGATTACTCTGGGAAGAAGATAAAGTCTGGGTTTCGTGGGCCCCCAGGGATCCCTGGCCCTCCAGGAGCACGTGGACCCCCAGGAGAGCCAGGCAAACCAGGGCCACAGGGGCCCCCAGGCCCTGGTCCTGGTGGCTATTCGCCCTCACTCTACACTCCCAAGATTGCCTTTTACGCAGGGCTACGCAAGCAGCATGAGGGGAGTGAAATACTGAAGTTTGATGATGTGGTGACGAATGTAGGTAACTACTATGAGCCCACCACTGGCAAGTTCACCTGCCCTCTGCCTGGCATCTACTTCTTCACCTACCATGTTCTAATGAGAGGTGGTGACGGGACCAGCATGTGGGCAGACCTGAAGAAGAACGGAATGGTTAGTAAAACTGTGTGTGTGTGTGTGTGTGTGACTATGTGCATGCATGACGGTGCGTGTACATATATGTCCTTATGAATGCGTACACACGGTCATGAAAGATTTTTTTCACTGTTGACCATCCTATGTTACCATTGACTCACATTCACCTCTGTAACATTGAGCTCTTCAGATTCTGAGCACATTCCACTTGGCAGGTGGCAACATGACAGCCAAAGACTGAAACAGCAATCTTTATCCTCATTAAGGGGAATTCATGCTATACAGTCTAAAATTGCAGCTACAGTTATTTGCATTCCCACATGTACTGTGGCTAAATGACAAGTGGCAGAATGCAGCCGCCGCCAAAAGCAACAGTCTAATTAGTAAGTATCATACACAGAGCTTGATTATTGCCTAAACAGAAGTGCAAAAGAGCACAGGAGAAATGTCTGTCAGTACGTGGACCAGTCAGTTTACACCTCAGCTAAATAAATAATGAATGTAAAATTGACAGTCCACTCATCCACTCCCTCATTCCCCAGACACTAATTAAAGACAGAGGGGCTGATGGGGGAAGAGAAGAGGAGGGGTGGGATAAATCACAAGGATTTCATCAGAGGACTCCAAATTCAGGAAACATTCTTCAAGTTGCTTTTTCACATTCATTCATTCATCAAGGACTTCACATGCAAATACTCTCTGCTCAGACCTCACTTTCTAGACATGTAGAGCGCCAATGACTGTTCAAACACACAGGCTAATGCGCGCGTATGCGAACCGTATGGTTCAAATAAGGCTGATTGAGACTTGATTTGGTGAGATGTAAAACGACATGTTTAAAATCATCCGTCATTATCCATCATTTGATTATATGCATGAGACCACAAAGGTGAATATGTGTTTAAGTCTGCCTGCCTAATGTCCTATATTGTCATTCAAGTCATCTTAGACTGCTAAATAATTTATACATCTTAGATTAGATCCCCTGAACACCCGCTATACTTTCCTTTCCTAACCCCTCCCCAGCTTGTTCATTGATTCTCCATTAATTATCTTTTCACTCAACTCAATTATTTAACCTCACGAGGTCCATCCGACACCCGACAGGTGGCCTCCTTAAACAGTTGTGTTAAATAGAGCTCTCACCTAACAGGGATCTATCCGAACAGAGCTGCAGCTAGATGAAAATGGAGTGTAAATGAATTGCTGCAGAATGCCTGATCATGTTTGGAGTTATTGAAGCCCAGAGGCTGGCGGGTATTCTGCCTGAGGCCAGTCAGTGGCTAGGGTTTACTAAATGGGTACTATGTTTGACAGGTTGCATTCCTGACTGTAGAATCAAATGGCCTGTTTTACCATTGCCGTAGGTGCAGAAGCTTTATTGGACATTTTGTCTGCCCACTGGGTTTTTTTTAATCCAAAAAGAAAAAAAAAAGAAAGAAAGAAAGAAAAAGGTTTGCCATAGCCACAAATGTGCCACTTTCCTCCTCCTGATTGTATTGTAACTTTTACACCTTAACAGATAAGGTCATTTGTAAGTGTGCGTTTGTTAGGCAGTCAGTCCAACAGATTGAGGGCTCAGACAGATTCAGTGAGAATGAATGAAACACAAGAGACTCAACATGACACGGACATGCTGAGATGTCCGCTTGGAGACAGTGAGAGGGAGAGCAAAACAAGACAAGTGAGTTGATGGGAAGATCAGGGGTGGAGCAGAGGAAGATAGATGACTTAATGGAGGTGTGGAGACAGTGGGCTGGTAGACGAGGCATCTGGGAGGCTGGTGGTGAAGGCCAGGATGAGATCAGGCACGATGACCAATGGACACCCACTCAAGATGTCTCGGCTTGACAAGTGATCAAGGCCGGCCTGAGAAAGAGAGAAAACTGGTTTACAAACTGTGTTTATGCACCAGCAGGTGCAGGTGCCCGTTAGAGACGCTTTTTAAAGCAATAAAAGAATTAACACTATATACCAATAGATTTCTCCTGGGAATATTTGATTTATAACGATGTCTGTGTCATTGCTAGTGATATTTAAATTGACACACTGCACTGGCCGTTGGGCTGTGACTTGTGACGTGTGACATGAGTGTGGTATAATTCGATGCCAGGATCTCAGGAGGATGTGTTGGGCTGTGCAGGGCTTCCATGGGATTCCTATAGATCCAATAGCTATTACCTTCACTAAATCCCCGCTCTGTAAAGCCTACCTGCTCACACCTCAATCTAACTTTCACAAATCATTGCAGCATGACAGGGCTTCAGAGTCAGGGGATTTGTGATTGAAGGGGGTCACACTTCAGTTGCTTCCATGTGTGTAATGCGATGGTAATTGACTTGTGGTACAATTCCAATGTGTGATGTGAATGTTAGCTCAACACCTTTTCCGCCCTATTCTTGCTCAGCTGATCAGCCCCAGCTGTGTGTTATTTGCGCAGGTTTGGAAACACAAGGCACACAATGCCAAATTTGATAACCCAGTCTGAGATGATGATGGATCCATATTAGATCCTTATGATACTTAATGATTTAATATTGGCTCAGCCTCGCTCAAAATAAATAGTCATGAATGCCCTTCCTATCGGTGCCACTATTATTATAAATGTGTTAAATCCCTCTATTCGTAATTCACTGTCAGGGATAGATGGGTTTTATGCCACTTGATATTCCAGCTTAGTTGCAAATGTTATTAGGACAGTCTATGCTAATGTTGGGATGCTTTATGCTGTGAAGGGTGGTAAAACGTTATCCGTACCTTCTCAACAGAACTTCTCCCTTTCCCCTCATTAACTGGTATGTGAGCTGTTCACCTGCTCATTTATATTCCCATAGTGCATCACTATACTGTATATCTATATTAAATATTCTTAACACAATGTACAATGCAGACAAATAGATACTGGCCCCGCTCCCATTTAATCTTTCCCTTGTTTTTTTTTTTTTTTTCACCTATCATAGACTCTTTTAATAGCTCAATTAAAGGTCAAGTTATTTCACAGTAGCGTTAAAATGTCATCACTCACTATAATGACCAGTACCTGCATTAACTTCCCCCAGTGCAGAGCTATGGATATGCTACAGGTGAAATATAATTAGTGTCAGAGCGAAAGGTAAGAAAGAGTCAGATGCAGAGAGGAATTTGTACTATGAGGACAAGTCAAATGTAATCTTCTTTGTCCATAAGAAATCTAAAAAAATCTGATGAAACACACTAATTAAGATAAATCAGTTCCACTCATGCTGTGCACAAATTTGGCCATTTTTGTGCTGCAGACCACAGACTATAACACTGAATGGCAGGTAATAGCAATCTAAAGTATGGTTCTGCTATGGCTTGTTGCCATGTAATCCCTGGGCTCCCAGAGGAGAGGGAAAACCTACTCAATAAATATTCTATTTCCACAAACCGCCCTCCACACCCCACCCCCAACGGTCCCCAACCCTCCTGCCATGTACTGGAGTCCCTTAGGTAAGTTTAACAGCTACTTTTCTATTGTCTCCGCTCTAAGAGGTCAGTATATCACAGTGAATGAATCCTGTCAGTTTTATTACCAGTGGAGCACGGCACCACAGATAAAAACAAGACTTCATATACCCCTACATCTCCCTGGCCTCACAAAATAGCCTCGCTTGATCAGTCTGTTACTTCAGCCCCCCCCCCCCCTCCATTCCGTCAACTCTCTGGCCCCCCCCTTTTTTTGTTTTTTTTTCTCCATCCCTTCTTTTTGTCTATCCTTGTCTGTCGTCTGCAGTGCGGCTCCACTTGTATAAAAAATGACACTGCAGCTGCTCCCCGAACCACCGCCATCAGCCCCCACACCTCCCCACTCCTTCCCTCTCGCCTGTGGCCCCCTCTGCTCCCAGGCGTGTTTACTAGAGGCCCTATAATGAAAGGGCTAGGCGGAGACACAGACAGCCACAGGCAAGCCCTGGGGGCCCCTGCCTCACGGCTCACAACCCTTCCAGCTCCAGGATCAGCACAGCGTGCTGCCTGGTTCACATGGATCAGTCTGTGTCCTCCAGCCGTATCCGTCTCCTCTGTCGGCTTCCCGCCCTAATCCCACCACGGCTCTCTCATGCCTCTCTGTCTGGTGTCTACATTAATAGATGGCTTGCATTATTCCTTCACGCACAGGAACATCAGCTGAAGCCCCATTTCATATATCATATATTGGCAAAATGATCTCTACACTGAGTGACAGATATTATTCTCTTGTACAGAATTCAACCGCACTTCCATGCATGAAGTCATGAGAATCTGAGAAGGCCTAAGGGAGGGAAAGATCTCGCTACTTCTCCCTCCGCTACACTGTTTGGCCAAAATAATGAGCAGGATGACATATGCCTGGTGTCAATAGGAAGTCACAACAACAGCATCACTGTCAGAAGCAGCCGAAGATGCAAATGTGATATTGGCTGTCACTACACATGTCAAGTAGAACAACAATATAACCTTTATAGATGACAATAGATTGTAGCTGTTATTTGAGAGATGGTCTTGTGAGGGCTTAAGAAAGGGTAGATTATGTTTGGTTGAACCAACTGGGAAGGCTCATACTAAATGCACATTTAATAAATGCTATAAATGTTCACACTTATGTGCTGATAACAAGTCACATCCTGTTTAGGCAGCAGCTGCCTTTGGACTGTTGATAAGGAGACAAACTATTGTATTCTCACATAACATAAACAGATCAGGTAAAGGAAGTCAGATTGCACTGGAGTATTTTTTTTAATCTCTCCATTGACATCATGTTTTCATGAGGGGAGCAAATCATTTAGTTAGCTTGTTTAGCAGTCAACTCATTAACCACAGGCCGATGTAATATACTGTGTATGTATAGTGGCAACACAGAAGACTGGTTTTCATTGTCGTGCTCCAGGCCTGATTTACACCGGGACCCTCAGGGCTCTGATCTTTTCAAAGCCAAAAAAATTCAAGATGCTTCAGATTCATTCAACGTCATTCAACTTCACTCATAAACAACATGCTTTTAAAAAAAAGAAAAGAGAAAGAAAATTGCTACAGCAAATTGTTAGTATATTAAAATAATTTCTAGGAGACAGGGTTGCAGTGAGTACGTCTATATGCTCAACAACTAGATTGGTGTCTCATAGTGGTTTTGATCATATTCGGGACATGATGTTTGCATTAAACATACAGATTACACTTGTTGTTCAGCTCCCTTTAAGATAAGATAAGACTTTATTGATCCCTGGAGGCAAATCCACATGTTACAGCAGCAGAGACAGACTGAGAGGAAACTAAGCAAAAATCTATTAATTAAATAACTTTGAAAGAATAAAATAATAAATTATAGGCCTAGAAATTAAACAGCATCTAAAAGCTGAGTGCAATATAAATATTACAATGCCTTATATAAATGAATTACATACATACAATAATTGTAGATAGATAAGATAAGATAACAGGTTTCTGGTTGTCTGTGTAGGTGTGTCTTTCACTTCCCCACGTCTCAGACGCTCCTCTCATAAACAGGCAGACTGAGGATTGTTGTATCAAACTTTTACTTCCACTTTTACTTTTTCCCCAACTGAGCTAATGTTTATTTTAATTCTTTAACTTTTACAACATCAACAGTGCACACTTACATACTACCTACATTAAAATCAGAGAAGCCGAATATGTCTGCAGTAAGAAGTAAAATGGTTTAGGCCTAAGTGCCCTGGGTTATCTAAACTTAAGAACACCCCTGTGGACTAGAGAATCTGAAATCTAATGAAACAAGACTGTTGTAGTAGTGAAACAGTAGCTGTGGTTGGTTTTACTGTGCGGTTACTGAGCTGTGAAGCCCCAGGAGATCGACTCCTCTGCCCCCTTAATCAATCTGGTTTAGAGTGGACAGGGACATACTTAACCACTGGTCGCCAGCATGCTCTATGTTGGATGCAGCATCCATGACCTGAATCTCGTTTAAGGACACCTAGTGATAGTGTCCAGGTAATAGAGCACAACTGCAGGGCTGATAGATGGGGAACAATATGCTCAGACGAGGGCAAAATGTATGGGTGCAGGGGGAAAAGAACTTTTTCTTTTTTTTTTGTTACAGTAATTCAGGCTCTGTTGCTCAGCGATTGACTGTTTTCAAATTGATGCATGCTCGTTGGGGAGAAAGGGGCCCCAGTGATGGGAATGACATGATGGTAGTTGAGTTGCAGATCATATTCTGTGGCTGTCATGGAGATGTGCGTGGCTTGTCTGGCTGCTGACATAGATTGAGTGCTCCCTCCGTAGATGGACACTGAGCGAGACGCAAGGCCACTGATGGCTGACATATGTCTGATGATTGGAGCTGCTACACCAGAATTATTGATACATCCTACAACAGAGGTTTTTGCATTTGTCAAAAACATTTTAGATGTTTTAGTAACACTTTAACTAGAATCTGAAAGGGTTACCCAGCTAAAAAAAAGCACTATGAGAGGCTGCACTTAATATACTCAGTATCTGTATATACACGCTATTTACACTGAGCCCCTTATGTGTAGATAACCAGTTTAAGAACATTATGCTTGGTAAGTTTCGTTTATAAGTGTAACTCAATCTAGGCATGTGTATTTAAATGTCCACAATGAGTAAACCCAATTAAATGTGTTAACAAACAAGTAAAGATCCACTGCTGTTGGGTCAATAAGACCGAACTCACACACAGCATGCAAATGTGAAACTCTCTGGCTTAGGCATGGCCACTCAATATCATACATATTGAGCTGGCCCAGGACCATAAGCAACAGGTCAATAGCTGGTGTAGATAGTGATGCGCTTTCTCGGCTTAGCTAGTTTCCCCATAGACAACCTGTTGTCCCCAGTGAGCCCGCTTATCTCCACAACCCAATCAGATCTCCATCCTCTGGTCCTTTACCCCGAGCCCCAGTCATAGCTGATCAATAAGAGGCAGAGTGGCTGTGTTTTCAGTCCACCTCTGGGGTCACAGGTCATAGTCCCATCCATCTTCTTATCCACCATGAATGTGTAGGTGATGTCATACTCATGAGTGACTCATTTGAAGGCTGTTAATGATTAATCATGGCCCAGCTTGGACAAACAAACGGCAAAGAAAGAGAGTGAGATGTGTTAGTTTTAGTTTAAAAGAGCTGCTGAGTAAGTGGCGGTGACATTTGCAAGTGTTTGTTCAGTTTCGTCCATGTTCTAATTGTCAATGCGTACGTCCTCTGTGGGTGACAGGTAAGAGCCAGCGCCATCGCTCAGGACGCTGATCAGAATTACGACTACGCCTCCAACAGTGTGATCCTGCATTTGGACGTGGGCGATGAGGTGTGTGTGCAGCTGGACGGAGGGAAGGTCCACGGAGGGAACACAAACAAGTACAGCACCTTCTCCGGCTTCCTCATCTACCCAGACTGAATCTAATCCTTACTCACAAGGAGAGGAGTGGTTAGAAAAACACCAACATACACAAAGACATCTTCACGTGCACACACAGACATGTATGTATGCAAATTAAACACACACACACACACACACACATAGGCCTATATACAGACATGCTGAGAACAGACTACAAAAGTGGAATTAAGTTGAATCATGTGATATTGAGCCAAACATCATGAGCAACTGCATTTATTGGCCCCCATTGTGTGCAAACATGAATTTGAGAATATGTACAGTATAAGTGCACATAAGAATTGCACGTTGTGGCTCTGAAATATCTAAAATATTATAATGTGTTCCATATTAACTGACATTGTGATAACTAGAATATAACAAGCACCATCAGTGTGACTGTTTTTTAATGCAATAATGGTGTTGAAGGTGCCATTAATTAAGATGACAAAGCTGAAAAATGCACTTTTAGTGTATTCCAGTCTTTACCCAAGCAGTATTTCATTTATACATCTCTGCTCTCCATTTTAATGACCTCTGATCGAATGGCCTTCCTATATTTTGCAACTCATCTTTATAAAATATTTTTTTCCCCTGTGCTTCGAAGCGAATTACACCAGTGGAAATTAATTGAATCCCTGTTGTGATGCATTGGGAGAGCACTGATTAAAATAAGGCAATCGCAATAATTGCAGATGTCTGACCTTCCTTTGTTCCCATCGTGACACAGGATGTCACATGGTAAGATAAAACAAAACGTATTGATATTACAAGTCAACAAATCAAGACTCATTTCATGGATGGCACTTGCGTGTGATGAAGTTTTACTTGCCAAGTGCATTATTTACAATATTGTGTGTGAGTGAGTGGGTATGTCAGTAGGTATGAGTGGACACTATGAGATACTGGGGCAGTGAAAACGTGACAGATGCAGTGTTTTACTTACATTAACTGTTGTACAATACATTACAGACTGCTGTAATCACAATGCCATACCTCCTTAGTACTTTATTTTTGAGAGACCCTGTCAAAGTAGCATCATATGTATAAACAGTAATCTTGGGATGGGCTATCTGGTATGTTGAATAGGTTGAGTAGATAATATTGCTATTAAAATATCTATACCTACCTTGTCTGTGTTCTTAAGTGTTGTTTTGGCATGGTGGACGTCAGGGCTGAATAAAGGCATGTGCATTCAACAGTCATAAACACACACAGACCCTTGCTCAGTTTTATTTGGAGTGACCACTTGGACTGACTGTGGAGAATTGGATATATGACACAGCTACGTGAACTTACAGCTGAGATCGAAGCAACAGTGGCCGACCACAGCCACTGCCTGCTACAAGATGGATTTCCAATATGTGTTAAGACACTGTCTAAGACACGAGCATTAATACGGCTATATTGATCTCAGCTTATAATACACCCAGGATCTACAAAATCCAGCCAATGTATACATTTTAAATGTAACAATATAGTAATCAATTGTGCAAAACAAACCAAACTGCTTCAATGTTCGATAACGCTTGCTATTGTTTATTAGGGTTTTGAACCCAGATTATTTGTTTGGAAGGACACCGATAACAAGAAATACATCCAGGGAACCGGTAACATATTTCTGAAGTATTGGTACATTTCTCCCAATTTATTGATATTCCTACAGTATGTTTACAGTGCTATGGTAAACAGCCAAAATCTCTGGTTTAACCACTTCAGAAATCTGATTACTCCAACAATTACTTTCATTATCAGTTACTCTGCTGATTATATTCTCAATTAATTCCCTAACTGGTGAGCCTATGAAGTGTCAGAAAAAAAGTAAAATATACATAAAAATTTCACAGACTCCAAGGTGACATCATCAGGTATTTGTCCATCCAAGGGTCCAAAAGCCAAAGATATTCAGTTTATTATGAGACAAAGAAAAGCAGTTAAACCATCAAAATAGTTGCAGATTAATTTTGTACCGACTAATTGACTAATGGTTTCAGCTCTAAATCAAACCTATTAGTCCATTTCTTTGTCTATAATAATCAGAATCATTTGACATGGTATTTCTTTAATCAGTCAAAAAGAAAGGTAATTGGAATTCAAGACTGTGTTTGCAAATTAATTAGTTCATCATTAAATGGAATAGACAGCTCTTTGTTTCAAGGGAATATTTGTGTGATATTAACAGGTTTAGGTTTCTGAACGATAGATAAATTAGTCTTTGTTACACCTGGCATGAAATGACTGAGATAAGCACTATGTACATTGAAAACCGTGGGTGTCATTTCATATTATATATAATCAAAAGGTGCACACCTCAAACATAACTAAATATGCTTCCAAGAGTTTTAACTGTGTGATAAAAAAAAAAAACTGCCTGTTTCATGAGCATGTGTTGTTTTCAACACAGTTAATTTCACCAAGGGGGCATAAAAAAATATTCCTAACCCTGGTAGAGAAAGCCATCATCCTCATGTTAAAGAGAATGCATCTCAAACACCTCTTACATTATCGCTGAAAAGGAAAACATCTAATTAGAGCAGGGAGCCGATGGCAGTCTAGACTTAAAGGATTTGGTGAATCTGTTGCTCCTGAGCTGAGAAAGTGGGATGTAGCCGTGCCATGCCTGGGCCCAGCCCCCGGCTCTCTCTCCTGGCAGATTCCAGTTGAAAGTTAATTGGACGGGGAGAGGTCTGAGACAGGCTGCGCTGAGGCCCATTAGCGATTCCCCTGTCGAATGCAGAGCCATGAGGATCACAGACTCACAAATAGGAGGATTAAAATAATCAATAGCTTTGACTTCCATCGACCACACACATATACACGCAGACACACACACACACAGAGAGTAATTAGCAGACAACCTATTCAGCACTGGACTATGACACCATCCTGAACCCACACACACACACACACACACACACACACACGAAACTCTGATAGCTGTGGTGCCTAACGAGAGGAAATAGTTGTGGCTGTTTATGAGGGAAATGAGGAAAAAGGGTCAGGAAGTCACCAAACAGCCTTCTACGTCTCATAACCAAGTGCTTTGTCACCAAACTATGCCTGGAAATTTACAGCACAGCTACAAATTTATAAACTCAATTCTTTTTATTAAAATGTTACTAAGTAATTGCAACCAAGTGGGAAAACGAAACTTGAGCAGCTGAGCCTTCTCATGGTATTCTCTAAATTCACACAAAGAGCAAGATACTCCTCTTGTATTTTACACTATTTTAACAAATGGCCTTTTCTAAAACATAGCAGATTCCAACAGCAACACTGCCCTCTTGTGTCAAATGGAAAAACAGCACACACATCAATGCACTGCAGAAGGCAGTCGCAAAACTTCTGCCTTATGCTATTGATTCAAACAAATCCACTCAAAAGAAACAAGATGAGTTTTAAGGAAAACATTTATTCAAATGTAGCAACATAATTGGCAGCAATAGCCATGATCAATTGTGGTCTTTAGTAGGGAATGTAAAGGCACTTCTTAAATTAAATGTGGAAAACTAATCCATGGGAATGACTTGGAGGGGGGGCTGTAGAAGCTAACTGCAAAAAGAGGGTACACATGACAGGGTAAAACAAAAAAAAAATAATAAAAAAAATAAAGGGATTCTCTCCGTCTTCACCCGCTCATCACCATCCTGACCAGTTCTGTAAACATGAGAAAGAGACAAATGTGAGTTTCATGGTCTAAATCTCAGCAGAGACCTACTCCAACTACAACATGTGGAGCCAAGGCTCCCTCCTCATCCAGGTTTGGTGGGCCTGGGTGGGAGATGCTGCATTTGGAAACAGGTCCCCATGTTCTGCTCACCCAGAGGAAAGAAAGGTTGAACTGGGTACTAAGAGAAAGAGGTGAGGTAATCATCTCTATCTCCAATTCAGCCAAAGAATTAGGCCATGTCTATGATCCAAGAAGAGCTGGTTAGAGAAGCCATCCTCGCTGTATGCTTTCCTCTAGTTGAGAAGCATAGAAAAGGGGAGAAGATCAAGGGAGCTACAGTCCAGTCAGAATGGCCAGCTACAAATTCAGCTTCCATCAGTACAGAGGAGAAAACAATCAGCACAAGAGCCACTCCTTGCAATTCTCTGGTTAGTAGAAAAAGGGACTGGTCCACTCTCCCAAAGCTGGTGGCTATGCTTGAATGTAAAACATGTGTGCAGGGTAATGAACTGATACATCCAATTCAGTGTCTATGAAAAGAGCAGCACCTCTGAAACCAGCAGAAGAAAAGGCCTTTTTTTTAAATAGCACTGGTGACATGCAAATGAGATTAGAAGAGTTCTCTCATGGCCACCACACCAATCAGCTCAAATGACTTGACAGTGGCCACCAGGCTTTCCCTGAATGAGACCAGTCTCTTCCCTGTGTGTCCACCATATCCCCTTATAAACTGAGGGGAGTTTCAGACACATGCAGAGGGGCATGCTGCAGCCAGGGGCCAAGACAGAGGGCTGCAGGAGAGAGAGACAGAACAGCAGGAGGCTACACATGGGTCAAAGCCTCAGGACTAATGAGAGGGATCACCAGGCTTTCCCACAGGCACCTAGGGGTCAAAAGCTACTTTGCAACAGCACATTATTCCTGTTTGCCAATATGAAGTGCAAAACTACAGCCGATTAGTGTTAGGATGGCAAGAAAGGGGGTGGATTATTTAACAATTTTTTAAAAAGCAGGAAAGCCTGGAGGTGCCATCTCATGGTATACCCAGTGCCCGTACCGGCCCTCAGCCTGACATGATGTGGCGAACAAATGCTGTGGAGGAAGAACAGTTAGCACACTGTCAGCAGTTGACATTTTATGCAGGTCCTCTTAGAGCAGTCAATTAGCCACAAGTGTTGAGAACATATATTAGACATTAGCCGCTAACATGAATAGACACCCACCTCATCATGAGACTAAATCAAACATCGTGACAACCTGTTTCATACATAAACTGCTTCCAATGATTGCCTTTAATATAACATTTACTGAATATTTTTAATTATACAAACTCAAACTACAATTTCCTCAAAGTACTTCTTAGTAATTACAGTATTTCAGGTCAACAATGCACACAGTGTAATGCATGAGCGATGTTTCGTTATTACATCGAATAGTTTGCAAATATATATAGCAATGGCATCTTCACACACCATCAGTGTAATTACAGCCAGTATGGGATACCGCCTATAATTACACTGATGGTGTGTGACAATGTTCATGTTTCTTTCTTTAGTTCTCACCTTCATAATTAATGCAGCCATTTGCATCTTCATGTCCCGCCAAGAGTGTCTCCACCTCCTCCTCTGTCATTTTCTCACCTGAAAATGGAGCATAAAATTGTTTATTCATATCACATAAGTGACTTAAATGTAATTTAACTTAAATGTGAAAGATTTTATGAAAGGCAAGTAAAATAATACTACCAGAAATACATTTATATACTAGATGGTTCTTAATGCAAAATTTACAAACATGCCATCCATTTACTTTTGATGATATGTACATTCAGTTTTCAGTAAAAAAAAAAAAGAAAAAGATTTGCACTGAGCTTTCCATTCTGAGGACTGTAGTCTTTTCCCCTAAATAAAAAAGTGCAGCTATCTATTTAAGGGTATGTAAATAAAAATGGAACTTGCCTAGTGTGGTGAGGACGTGACGTAGCTCTGCTCCCATTACTGTGCCGTTGCCCTCCTTGTCAAAGACACGCAGTCCCTCCACAAAATCCTCCATGGAGCCCTGATCTTTATTCTTAGCGATGGCCTGGAACATGGGCAGGAACTGCTCAAAGTCTAGCATCTTGGAGTTCATCTCTGCAAAAACACAAGAATAATTGAGGCAATTCTCAGTCTCTGAACCTCCACAGACTGTTTCCTGCCACAATGACAATTCCATGATTTACATTTATGATACACAACTCCCAGCAAGTGAATTTTTTTTGCCCTCACCCTCAGCCTTGGGGTTGCCCAGGACCTTGAGCACCTCAGCGTTGACAGGGTTCTGTCCCAGGGCCCGCATGACGTCCCCACACTGGCTGAAGCTGATCTTCCCATCTCCTGTCTTGTCGAACAGCAGGAATGCCTCCTTAAACTCTGCAGGATACAGAGACAAATGGCATATTAGAGTAGGGAAATGAATTTTCGAGGAAACAGAGATAAGCAAACATGTATGGGAGAATGATAGAGATACCAAGTAAACTGGAGATAAGTGAAAACAGAAAAGCCAGACAGACTGTGGAAAATGAGAACAAGCAGACTAGAGAAAGTGCAGACTATGAATTGTGATTAAGCTTATAAATGATCTGGTTTTCAACTGGTAAGCCTAAATTTAAATACAAGAGGCAGGGCACAAGGCACTGCACTGACAAGCCTACCTAGGTTTCCTATGCCACTCTAGATCTCTATGGGGAAACCCCAAACGTATACGGCATGATCATGTTTTGTTGAAATGCAGAAATTTAAATCAATATAAATATATAATATAAACTAATATCTCATCAGTATATCATCTTCATTTCCATTTGCATGGTACAGGGTGGCGAAACCACTAAAAACCACACTTGCTCTCTGAACTCGGCTCGTCACTGCAAACACTCGTCTAACTTCCTCAATTCAATTAGTCATCTGGGCAGGCTGATTTTTTTTTCATTACACATCAAAAGGTGAAACAATTTCAATTCGACTCTACATTCTCTGTGATCTTTGCTGTAGTTTGAACATGCAAACACTTGTGGATTACATTTCCAAACACTCTAAATTACAAGGATGTTAAAAATGTATATGTACATTGTGGCTAAAATAAAGCACCGGAATTAAAAATATGTGGCTATAGTATATCAGGTAAAAATGTTTAAAGCTCTGAAGATAAGGGTAAAAGTAAGGATATTTGTTACATTTATAGATTTACTATCTTTAAGAAAAAAAAAGAAAAAATGACATGGGCCAAGACCATCCTAAATGTCGCAGCTCTAAATAGAGGTAAAAAGATTTACTTTACATTAATGAACAACAAACAGTAGCTTCAAAAAGAAGCTTACAAGTCCTTCACTGTATTTTAAACTCTCAGATTACAGTGAGGGGCATATAATTGACAATCATGTTCTAAGTATTCAAAGTTGCCTGTGTTCTTAATGACTAATAACATGTCACCCATTTTATGATGGCAAACAGGAGATCAATGTAATATTAATTTTATTTATTGGAACTGATTCAGCACGAGTCTGGCTGGCAGAAAGGTCTTGCAGGTGGCTTGGAACGTTTTCAGCTTCATTTGACTCCTCTACACTTTGCCAACAATATTTTACAGCACTGTTGAGTAGTCAATAAGACTATGACCTACCTGAGCCTTTAAAAGCATTCACAAGTATGGAGTATATTAGCCATTGTTTAAATGGAGTTATCTAAGCTTTATCAACTGTAAGGATGATACCGTTTTGTTGTTGATCACAAGGCTGATTAATGTAGCTTTGATCTAACGACAAGCATTCCCGTTAAGCTCAACAATCAAAACCAAAAGCTTTGCTAAGATCTAGCAATCAGGGGGACATGGAGTTACATAACAATGTCCTGTTGGCAGGCTGCTTCTAATGTTATGGGACAAGCTATTGCCCAAAAAAAGCTCAGGCAGTGTTGTGGAGTTTTTCCTGTTCTGAGGAATGTGCCTCTTCCCTTCTGGCGTGTGAGGACTTTTCCCAACACCATATTTGGTATTAGAGGAGTGGAGGAAAGTAGGAGGAGAGTGAGAGTATAGCCTATTATGTCAACGTGATTAAACAAACCAGCCCTAGGACAAAAACCATCCATCACTGTATACAGCACCAAAAAAGGGCACACTTGTGGAGATGAGCTGCTTGAAAGATAACAGGCAAAGTTTAACGCAAACCGACAACCAGCAATGACGACGATCTAACAGAACAAGACTTATGAGAACAGATATGAGGTTTGGCAATGTTTAGCTTTAGAAGTACTTTTAGGGCATGACTGATCACATACAAAAACACTGCAACACACGGTCAAAGCTGGTAGGGATTATAACGTTATATGCAGATTATGACTGATTTCGACGTACCAAACAACAGTGCAAAGCAACTCTCAATCACATTTAAAACAAATTAGGTTTACCCAAAACCAACATGCAGATCACACCCTAAACACTCCGTGATAGGCACCAGTTTTTTGCACTAAGGCGGTCCCTTTTCACTGACTTACCATGAATCTGATCCAGGTTAAATTCAATCTGGAAAGGACAAGCAGTTGCAAGTGGAAAGTGATGAAACAGTACGGAAATAAAGAAGGAAAGCCTCGCCTAACCACAACTGCTATGACAGGCGGGTATAGAGCAGGATGATAGTGGAGATACAGGGCAAAGTATCATCTGATCCAAGCAAGAATGAGAGCATGCAAAAGAAGCGGGGTTTGGAAATGTCAAACACAAATTCAAAACTCACCAAGGATTTGATCTTCCGAGAAGTCAGACTGTTCAAAGAGAAATTAGGCTACATGAAAATTGTTCCTTTTAGGGTGCAAAGCTAGCTCGGGTTAACTTCAAAGGCTTTTGATTAATTTTTCAGTTAGTTAGATTTGCCCAACCCACATATTCCCAAACCATAGCACATTCAGCAATGATTAATGTACACGTATGTAACTCGGCGACATTAATAAGCTCGTCGTGTGATTGTTAAATTTAATCTACCGTGCAAGCTAACGTTAGCTCGACAAAAGTTGCACTTCCGCTAGCGACCAACGAGCCAATTCACATATTCTAGCTCAACTTAACAGCTTTGCAAAGCTAAACAATTTTCTTGTAACAATCACACCCGAAGCTAATTACACAAGGACGGCGATAAAAAAAATTTGTTATGTCTAAGGGAACGAAAAACCCACCATGGCTGTGATGGCTGAGGTGTGTCCGATGAGTCGGTATACCAAAGAATGTGACGGCTCTCAGCACGGAAGGGTGAGAAAACCTGAAGCCCTTATAGGCCTTTTTATTCTTTATTTTTTCCCACCCGAGGTCGGCGAAGACCCACCCCTGCCGTGCGTCTGATTGGCTGGCACTCGGTTAGAGTTTAGGCATTTAGAGTGCTGATTGGTAAGACTATCGTGGTAAGCAAGTCACAGGCATGTTAAGGGGCGGGTCTTCGCCCACCTCGGGTAGGGAAAAAATACTGTAACGCCCTTATTGTAGGCCCTATTCTTCTTCTTCTTTTCCCGTTTCATAGTAGGCAACAACCAGCATTAAGGTGGATTGCCGCCACCCACTGATGTTGGAGTGTGGACCAGAGTCATCTATCTCCATTACCAAACACTAAAATAAAAATAACCCTATATTTCACTGATACTAATCTAAATTCTTTTTATTAGCCTGATGGCAAATACATTTTTTAGACTCAGTTCTTTCTCTCTGGGCCTGATTTCCCTATTTGACACAGTTTACACAATCCAGAGGGATGTCGGTTTATTAAGTGCAGTGTTTTATGTCCTATCTGTAGCCTTGTCAACCTGTGATCTTGCTCCTTTTAGCTGTCCTCACTGTGCCCACTTCTTGCTACACTGCAAAAAGGTATTCCTCCTCATTAGTCCTTTTGCTTCAGATGTACTTCTCCATGATATCCTCATGTTTCAGAGCCAGTTTTGCTAAAGCATCCACGATTCCATTGCCCTTCATCCCTCTGTGAGCTGGAATCCACATAAATGTTATCAGAATATTAATATTTTAAAATCCGTACAGAGTTTTGTATATCTCATTAACCATATTCTGCCTACATTGAGATGTAAATGCAGAACACAAACCTGGAACTCTTCTATCCACTGTAATGCTGTTGCAATTGCCACAATTTTGACTGTGTATATGGACAAATGATGTGATGTTCTTTTAACAGAAACTTGAAGCCTAAGGCTGGTGTACTAAAAGCAAAACCTGTGCTCCCTGTATAGGATTCATGGATGCATTAGTGGGACAAATGTTTGATTCAACCAAGGCTGCAATACTTCCAAAACCTTTACCAGCATTTATTCCAGTCTAGAAATCAATTGACACTGAAGGAAAGAGCCAGGGTGGTCTTACTGTTAATGGTAGCCCACTGTAGCGATATATACATATTTTCCAAACTTAATGTCATGTCTTTAGCTAGTTTCTCATTGCTCCATGCAAACACTCCCGTTTTTCCCCTTTTCTCTCCCAACATGGGAGAAGGGCCTTTGTTGTGAGATTTGGAACTTCACAATGCCCTTGAAGGTTTGCCCAGTAGTTCATCAGTAATTGTTTTGCAGTTGTAACACTCAGTGGAATTTCACCCACCTCAAGCTGAAGAGTGGACACAGGAGTGCAGCACAGCAAGGTCTCACAGCTTAAGCTTGCACCACCTCCCACTTCTTTAATGAGGTTTTCGCTGCTGAACCACAGTTCAGTGGCAGTACATCCATAGTCTAACACTTTTTACACTCTGTGTTTATGTTATATATATATGTTCACTCCATGTTAACTTTGTGTCAAACCGCACATCCAGAAATCCAAAGACTTTGACTTGTTCCATCCATTGCCCATACATCTTTATCTGTGTGCCAATCCAAATGTAATCCAAGCAGATCAAAGGAAGGAAGGGATGTAATGTAATAACTAACATTAATGTAGTGCCTCTCTATTCATAATTGTGTATTGCTTTTCATGGCTTTTTCTTGGCTGTTTGGCCTTCATTGTGCAGAACGATATGTGCAGAGTTTGACACTAAAAATATGGGAGCATTATTGTAGCAATAGATCTATTTCCAAATGGCTGTAAGTGTGTACTCAGATTTGTGAATGCGTCCATTCTGCGTCCAGATTTGTATAAAAGAAACAATAAATACACAAATCTGTAAATGTGTCCTGAAATCTGTAAATATACAAATATGTAAATGTCAATAAGATTTGTACATGTGTAAAAGAATCTTGTAAATAATAATGCTGCAATAATACCTCCCATTCTAGAATGCTATGCTTACTAGATGTTTTTATATGCTGAAGGAGGAAAGTTTCTCTATGCTCACCTTAAATCTCAGATTAAAATGTATAATTATGATTTTGTGAAATCATAAAATCCTGATTCAATATGGTTCAAAATGCAACTTGCCCAATTGAGATGTGGAAGCTTAAGCCTCTAATGCACATAAATGTAGACTAGACTGAAGTAGGGGACATCTTGTGTCAAGTCGTCAAATTTTTTGAAATAAACAATATTTGCATATTTATGGATTTAGAATTTCTCAGTAAAACTGATGGAGTAGATGAAATTTTAAGAATTTTTAACATCAAATTTTTTGTGGAAAAACCACTTCAGACAGTGGTTTTTCCACTGAAGTTGTTATTCCAAGCAGGGTGTGTGAGTGTGTGAGTGTTTTATATATCCTAAAATGTATATAATCAGCCTGTCCCTAACCTTACAAAGTAATCAGCGAGTCAAAAGACCTGATTTAGACATTTTTAAGATCTTTGTGGTGTGTGTTTGACTTTGGCCATTTTGACCCCACTTGAATAAATGAATGCATGATTGCAGGGAATGACTTTTCTTGGCTTTGCATTAAGGATGTGAGTGTCTGGCCATGCGGGAATGATGGATTACTTTAGGCCAGTGAGATCATGGACTGATGCCACATCTCTTCACAGCCTGGCTAAAGTGCTGTCCTTGCCCAGCAGGAGCTCTGGCTTCCTATCGTGTATGTGATCCCACTGTGAGCAGAAGCGGGTGTCTTAACGTGGCCCACATATCCTCACAGGCGAAATGGGACAGTCTCACGCCATAAAATCATGCGGTACTCACAGTGTAACACTGAAAATATATGAGGATGGCAGCAAAGCTAAAGCACCAACAAAGCTAAAGCACATTAGTGCAAAGTCTAATGTGGGCATCAGTCATTTGAGATGTAGAGTTTCTTTTTGACATTAAGATAGTTATTAAAATATAAACTAAACGTCTGATTGCCTGAACACTGTAATGGTCTAAAATAAATGTTAAACTCTTTTTATTTTCCAGTGTTGTCATTGTGCCTACTTGGTTTTCTAAAATCCTGTATGTACTGATATGTCATATTTATGTAAGACTTCATTTCCAGTCATTCAAAGGGTTGAAGAAATTATATGATATGACATAATAGTTTATGAAGTGCATAAAATATTCCAAAAATCCAACTGCAGCATTGATTCATATTCTTTTTTAACATACTGGGTATGTGCATAACTTTTTCTTTTTTTTTTATCATGGATCCTTCATATTTTGTTACCTAAGACATGTGACAGATACAGGCAGGGTATTTTGCATTTGAAAAATAAAAGTACAATTCTTAACAACTCTGAATCTACTCAGTTGTGATATGCAATAATAGACAGTACAAAGTTTTGCAAAAAATAGAATCCAGAATTTGCTGCTGGACAAAATAATGACAGTTTCTCAGTTAGCTCATGCCTGATTACTTGATGCTTGATATGCTGTATTTATTATCGCAGCCAGAATTTGCCAAAATCAGTATATTTATGATATGCCAATAATGGGTTGAATTCCATTTGCTGCTTTGGTTTCAAGGTCCTGGTGTTGTGCATAGGGACAACTGTCATAGCCTACTGGGACAATAAGTAATAGTAAGTAATAGAACGGATGGTTAATGTTATTAGTATTGGTGCTTTTCCTGCCATGACAAGTCAAACTATCTGCCATGGGAAAGGTCTCTGACCAATAAACACTGTTCGTCTAATATGGTGGGCAGGTTCTTTCTGTAATCTGTCCGAGAAGCTGTTATCTGGGCAGAAGCATAGACATTTTTCACAGCAGACATTGTGATGTAGCAGGAAAAGCACAGGTGAAACAACTTTTGTTAACTACAGCTCATTTTCACCAGGTGTCTCAGTAAGCCATGACAGTGAACCCGGAGCCTCAGACTAACTCATTTTTAATTTTATCAATTACACTTGTGTTTTTGCTGCTATGACAACCCAATATGTGTGCTGCAGGGGAAAAAAAAGATCCATAGGGAGATCCACTGCGTTTTTTCTTTCTTTCTTGCAACAGTTATGGGTTTTTAGCTCACAAGGGGAAAGCTGATTTGATGGAATCACCTGCTTGATGAAAGAAATAGCACATACTGTGGCAGGAAACTGCCTCTCTCTCTCCCTAAGGAGGCCACTAAATGACTGACAGCCTTGCCCCATTTCTTCACACTTTCTCATTCCAAAAGGATGCTGACAGTTTGGTCTGTCTATTTAGCCCCAGAACCACAGAGAGCTACTTTGTAAATAATCAGCATAGGATGTTTTTACACTGCTAACTGACATCAGACAGCAGTCCACTATTGTGCATCTCTGGCTGAGACTGGAGGCTAAAGATTTCTAAACACTATATTAGGAATGAAATGAATCAATTATTTCCAATAGTCCTAATTTATGAATGCCCCACATTAGCTTTTACACAAAATTATACTGCAGTAAACACACTCACCTCCAAAGTACTGGGGTCAAATGGTGAATCCGAGGGACGCAGCATCCTTGGCTTCTGCTCTGGAGCCGGTTTTGGTGCCGCAGGAGCCGCAGGCAGGCAGGGGTAAGGAGGACCCAGCCTGGGTTGGGTGACTGGTGAAGGAGACTTCTTAATGGAGGGTTCTCTTTTAGGAGCCATTCCGAACGCCCTGGACAGCCTAAACTATAGTCTCAAATCTCTGCACACGCTGCCGGCACGTCTGCTGAGAGGAGATATCAAGCTATGAAGTAAAGTGTGTCAGTTGTGTGTATCCTGTGGAGGCGTGAGGGTGGGGGATTTGAGGGAAGGGGGCAGGTTGATGATGCTGGTGGTGCTCAGGGACTGGCAGGTGGATGAGGCAGAGGTGGATGTATGGAAAAGCATGTGAGTGAATTTGTGAAGCAAAGCGGAGGAGGAGTGGAGATGAAAGCTTGATTGTAGAATAAAGAGGGGGATATATATAGAAAGAACCAGGCTCAGCTG